GCCCTGTTTACATACCTAAATAGACTTGTCCTGTAAAAAATCACTGCACCAAAACAGTAACACTTGGATGTTTACTGCAGCCATTGAAAGGACAGAAAAATGTCTTAAAATAAAAACCACGAACACTATGTCACCAGTTAGCCGTTGAAGTGATTGTCGTGGTAATCTTTCCATATTGTTTCTTATTTTTTTGACAGATAAAAGTTGCTGTTTTCCGAATTGATGTTAAGTGTAAACCTAACAATAAAGGAGAGATATAGTATATGTATATCTTATGAAGAATCTTAAAATACAAAAAAAAAATCTAATCACGTTGAAATCATTAAAAAATAAAAAATGAATCTATTTTAGAATCGAGAAGTCCACGTGCATCATTTATTATATTAGTAGAGCTAGAATTTTGATGACTTTTGCATTTTTTTCTTAAAGTGCTATACAGTTCTAACCAAAAACTAAATTTGTTTCGTTAAATAGCAATTTAGAATGATGTGTAATTTTCATTTTGCATTTTTTAGGTCATTTTTACAAATATTACGTTAATTTTGAGGATTTAAACTTATTTTTGTTTATTTTAAGGTTTTTTTTAATATGTGTTGTATATGTAATCCAAGTAGCCTTCTCCAGTCCATTGATATAGCAAAAGTAATATAATTAATTGTCAACTCAAATTTGAATATATTTGTTTAATTTACTTTTTAAAACAAATTTTTACCTATTTTTTATAATATAAAAAATGAATAAATAATAATTATTTTTAAATTAAATTTTTTTGGCTCATCTATAAGACTATAAGTACATTTTTTAGTCATCTGAGTAATTTATTAAAGTTTTTAGGTCATTTTTGCATTTTTTTTTTTTTAGAGCATTTTTGTATATTTTTTGGTTATTAAAATCCTAGCTCTGTATATTAGTATTGGTAATATATCTATAACTACTCTTGTTCCTACTAGTATCGAATTAGAATGTGTTCAGCTTCTGCTGACATAAAACCTTAACGAAAAAGAAGACTGGGAGTTGAAATATTGAGCGCTTTACTACTTCTGAGATTAAATTTTCAGAACACAAAAAAAGAAATGATTAATTATTATTTATAAAAATATAAAGTTCCATAATATGTTATTTAGAATTGATTGTTATATATTATAATATAGAACGATACAAAATAACAATAAATATTAACAATTATATTTTTTAATAAATCTTTTAATTCTTTTAAATTTTTCTTCACTAAATTTTATAATAATTTTAAGATCACGTAAAAATCGCAAAATAAGTTCAAGATTGTAATTATTAGTCGCGGTTAAGGTATTCAAATGAGAAAAAAGAAAAATGGCTTTTAGTATATTTTAAAAATTACACAGCGACAATTAACCACCCAAATACACTGAACTCCAATCTTCGTTCTTTTTTTAACCCTATCAATCTACTATATCGTTTTAAACGCCATTGGCCTGTACTAAATAATTAATTTAACCAATGATTTCTGATTAAAATGGTGTTATTTGACACTATCTTCTATCAAGTTTTCATGTTTTTATCATACATTTATAAAATGTAATAGTTACTGTATAAAAAATGTATTCAGATTGTAAATACAAAAATATTTATTTATTTAATAAAAAAAAACAGTACATTTTTCATAGACTAAACTTTTACATTTAAAATAGCTCACAACGGGAATAATGCAGTTTGAAAATGACTGCACTGTTAGACACACTTTCCATTTACACCTTAGAATTATTCTCTCTTATTATTCACAGTACTTACGTACAACTTTCCACATGTATGGCACTCTTAAATGTTCGTTATTATGTTTAAAGTTTTTTTATGTAATAAAAAAGTAGTAACAGACTCTTCACTGATATTATTTAGTCAACACACGGAGACTAAACGGGTATCGTGGAATAGTAAAGTTGAGCTGCAACCTTATACATACTACATGATATAGATAATAAAGTAGACATGTATTGTAATCTTATGTGATTATAAAGTATACTAGTTATAGATATATCCCAAGTGGCTACACGCAATTAAGGATTTACTATATCATCACTACTGATAATATTAAATAATAATTTTATAGATAGAATAATAACTTTAAATCACAATATGACAAACATATTTTAGTTATTACAATTATGGTAAAAAAAAAAAAAAAATAATAAAAATAGTTCATATCGAATTGACTAACGTTTTTTTCTTTATCGCGAATCGTATATATCCATAACAGTACACAGCAACAACAATCATTATACTTAATATAATCTTCGATTACAGTATACCGACGTACGTTATTGTATTAGGTATAGGTTCATTTTTGTCAAAAAATCAATGCAGTCATAAATATGCCCATGTATATAAAAGAGAAAAAAATAAATCGTATCATTATGTTCTCAGTGACCATAAATTGATAAAAATCGACGGGTGTTTGCAGTAGCAGTAGACCGTAAATCGGAATATATATTTTAAAATAACACCTTTTGTTCGTTGTCCCCAACACGTGCAGGTAGTGAGTGAGAAGGTCTTCGAAAAATTCCTACTAAAATAATATACGAATGTAAACGTTTTTATCCGATTTTCGGGCTGTCTACAAACGACAATCGTACAAACACCATAATGTATCATTTCCTTTGTATAATATTATTTAGATACGTACTATACAGTGTGTATAGTTACAACACAGTATGGTAGAAAAAAACATTTTACCGCTCAGTTAAACGCGTCTTATAATCGCATGTTTTTTAAAACTTCTGGAAAAGTTAAGGAATATACAATTGCAATAATATACAGAACACAGACACGACTTGTGATGAGTGTGAATAAAAGAAAAAATAGAGGTATTTCTTGATATAAACCGTGTTTCAGGTCAAATTTATTTCGAATAAAATAATTTTTTCCAAAGTAAATTTCACATGACATTTTTTAAAAGTTCAACAAAAGCATAAAATACATACAAGTATACATATATGTATAAATATATATATATATATATATATAAATATACACACGTAAGATAAGTGTACATGAATATATACATATATATATATATATATATCCTTCAAAACTATTTTAATATTATTATACAAAATTATTCATGAATAATTCAGTATAATACAAATGACATTTTTTTTTTTTAACACATTCAAACATTTATTTTGGCACTTAAAGACTACTTAAAAAAAAAATGAGAAAAAATAATAATAATAATAATAATAAATAAATAAAAACGGGTCAACAGGTTTAGTTACACACGTTTTGCCACGCGTGTACACATGATAAAAAATACATAACAACAAAGCGTAGGTCACTACATATTATATATTATAATATTATGTATGCGTGTGCGAGCGCGTGTGTGCATTTCAGTATAATCCCTCGACCCGCGACGGAGAAGTGGTGTGTTCTTCGTCTGGTGGGTGGGTCGAGAGGGTGGTAAAAAAAAACTGTAGTCTCAGCGCGCCGGGTGGTAGCAGAAAATCGAACCCAAAACAAAACTGTGACCGGTCAGTATTATTTAGAGAGTATATCAAAAAAATAAATATTATTAGTCATTTAATCCGACTACTTAATCTATAGGAATGTAATAAAAAACAACGATCGATACAAAAATCAAAATCGTTATATAGCACGTATACGTGAGCAAAAAAATAAATATTAATGATGATAATTATGTTAAAGATGGACTGATAAAACAGCAGAAAAACGGATTTAAAAGATGAAAAAAGGTCTATCGAACGGAATAACAATTTTGAATCGGGGGCTATTACGGAAAAATTTTCTATTGTAATACTATTATTGAGCTATTAACGCACAATGGTGTCATATCTGTATTCTTCTCACACACTTATCACATACGACTTACACACACACACACACACTGGCGCAACACGGAATTATTACTACGGCTTAATACAATAATTATCGTATTTTGTAAAAATAATAATAATAATAATAAATAGATATTATAATAACAACGATAGGGTTTATTATAATAATTTGTATAATAATAGGTAAATATGTATCATGTAAATTTAATTTTAAACATAATATTATCATCAAATTATGCATGTATAATAATCAATATTTTATATAAGTAAAAATAATAATAGTTATTATTATTATTATCATCATGAGTTTTAAAATATATTATTTACAACACAGTTATATATCAATCATGTAATATAAATAGGAAAAAGTATGAGACAAGTATACGCGCGAGTAATACTTATTAATAATATTATTAATGCGAAACATTGTGGAGGCAACGACGGTGGATACCGCCGCCACTCCAATGATGTTCGTTATTCGATAACAAAATATTATCTTCGTCGAAATTAAACAAAACCCAGCATTACTGACGAACAACCTAATATCGCCACATAAGCAGTTGTAATATTAGTTAATCAATAAATCATAAATTACCAAGCAAAATTTAAAAAAAAAGTTGGGCGGCCCCGACACGCACAGTAAAAACATATATCATAAGACTAAATATAAATAAATAAATTATTAGTATAACACACCATCAAGTTATCGTCTTATATCGCGTAGAAGCTGAATCGGGACCAAAGTCATTTTCCACGAATTCAGATTCGAATTTGATATTTTAAAAGCAGTTACTGTCTTGCGCGGGGGTGGAGGGGGAGACAGGTCGGTCGAGTTGGCCCCCTAATACATTAGATTACATCATAATTATTATTAAACACAAATTGATTTACACTTACAAGGTTTCATGGCGATTTAATATAATAATTTCATTATCATCATATCGAAGAGGATAATATAAATGTATAGTTCAGTATCTTAGTTGTCGCGCACATGGTGCAAATGGCACACACTATCGAATATCCACGGGTCTTTGAAACGACGGATTTTACACACGGCGGTGACGGTAAGATGGAGATGAAAATTTTGAATGAATTACAATTAAACGGAGTCGACGGCGACATAAAAAAAAAAAAAAATAAAAATAAAAATAAATCAAAAAATAAATATATAAATCAACAAAGACCGGTTGCTAAGGAGATATGGTGAAGGGGGGAGGAACTTAACAACCGCCACTCGGGGCGGTAAAAAATTCAAATAAGGTACGTTTCGCAATAAAAAGGCGCGCGCACGCACAACATTAAGGTAAAAAATAAATCAAACGTTGGCATCAACAAAACCGTATCAAAAAAAAAAAAAAAAACATAATAAAAACCAAAAATCAGGCAGGTAGGTAGTGCGGGGTATGGTAGGCGGTGCGAATCTCAAAATCGTTTCAATGAATGTTGGAGTTGGAGGCGTTAGGAACTTGTCTAGTCGGATCGTTTTCCATGTCGGACGACGTGGATCCGGGTCTCTCCTGTTGTTGTTGCTGCTGTTGTTGCTGTTGCTGTTGTTGCTGCTGCTGTTGTTGCAAATGCTGTTGGTGTTGCTGCTGCAACTGTTGCAGTTGCAATTGTTGGTGATGGTGTTGTTGGACAGCGAAAGCGGCGGCGGCAGCCGACTGGTGGCTGTGGTGATGCTGCTGTCCGTGCGGGTCTTCAACGGTGCCGGCACCCGCGCCGCCGCCGTTGTTGTAGAACGAGAATGGCGACGGGAAAATGCTCATTGGATGGTGCGGGTACGGTCCCGCTTTGCCGGAACCGGCGGCCGGCGGATAAAACTGATTGTAAAACGAACTGACCACAGCCGCGCCGCCGTTCTTGTTGTGCGGCGACTGCAAGTGGTGCTGCGGTTGCTGCTGCTGGTGCAGATGCGGTTGCAGCGGCTGCTGCAGTCCGTTCACCGCGTTGATGTCGCCGACCGCGGGCGGCGGCGAACCGGCCATCTGCGACGACGGCGACGGGGAATTACCTGCGCCCGACTGGACCACGACGGCCTGCTGCTGGGCCACGAGCTTGGACAGGTGAATGGGATCGAACGACGGCATGGCAGTGCTCAGGTACGGGTTGACGAGTCCCGCAGACGAGTAACCGTCGAACGAGTGCAGGGCCGGGTGGTGGCCGGTCGAGAAGTACGGCATCGGGAAGTTGAAGTTGGCCGCGCTTCCGGGACCGCCGCTCGCAGTCACTACCGGAAAAGCGTGAAAGTTGGCCTGTTTGTGGTGTGGCCCGTGGTGATGGTGCATGTTGTTGTTACCGGCGGACCCGTGCAGCATGCCACCGTTGTTGTTATGAGCGCCACTGATGTTGTTATTGTTATTGTTGTTGTTGTGCAATTGGATCTTGGGTTTGCGCCGGGGCCGATATTTGTAGTCCGGGTGCTCCTTCATGTGCAGGGCCCGCAGCCGCTTGGCCTCGTCGATGTACGGCCGTTTCTCGGTCTCGTTGAGCAATTTCCACTCGGCACCCAGACGCTTGCTGATTTCCGAATTGTGCATCTTCGGGTTATCGTGGGCGATGAGCCGCCGTTGGATTTTCGCCCACACCATGAACGCGTTCATCGGCCGCTTGATGTGATCGGCCTTGCCCGGAAGCTGCTGCTGTTGCTGTTGCTGCTGCTGTTGTTGCTGCTGCTGCTGGAGGGATTGCTGTTGCTGTTGCATGACCACGGCAGTCGGCGGCGACACGGACGATTCGAGCGCGCGACCGTGGTGATGGTGATGATGATGGTCCATTATGAAATCGAAATTACCCATGTGCGGAGCGCCGTCCATGACTGCGGAGAAAATACGACGACAATAAAACGCGTTTGTCTCCGGTGCGATTGCAGCCGGCTCTGGTCGATTTGGTTATCGCGACGATATGATGTTATCGGACTAACGCGCAACGCGCGCGCTCGACGTTCGTCGGATAATCGAATGAATATTTTACACCCGACGACGGTGTTCGCTGTACGAGCAGAAGACGATTTAACACAATATTAAACGATAAATAATTTATGCGGACACGAGCTACGAGACAATTACATTAAAGACACGAACGAAAAAATAAACATCGAAATGTCGGTCGACGGCCGTGCGGATGGACGGAGACTGCACACCAAGCAACGACAACCGGACGGGACACACGACGACGGACGAATGCTGACAGTGCGGTACGTGCGACGGGACTGAGGTACTGAGCGCAACGGCGGCGGCGATGTTGCTTCGCATGTGCCGTCGACGGCGGCGGCTCACTGTAGGCGGTACCCGGACGCCGGCCAATCAGCACGCACAGCCGCTTCCCACTGCCGCGCCACTACGACAATCAATCATTATTTTTCTCTTTCTTTGCTCTTCCTCTTCTCTTCCTTTTCCACCGCCGCCGCCGCCCTTTTCGCGCGATTCTCCGACTTCTTTTTCCTTCGTCTCTCCGCTCGCCGGTGCGATAATTATTATTCCCATTTTATTCTTTTTACAGCGTGTGTACCATACTGACACGAAGTCGTCTCGTGTCTTGTGGTTTTACGGCGTAGATACGCCAAAACCCATTGTTATCGCACTTCGTAAATGGTGTCGTACGTCGACGATACTCTCGATAATATTATATACACGAACGCTCACGGAGTATGCAGGCCATCAGACCCGGTTTGAGAGATAAGACGACACAGGCCCACGACTAGGGCGGCATTTAAAATTTTTTTATAATAGATAATTTTTAAATATTTTACATGTAAGGGGTGGCAAAACTCAAGCGTGTTTAAAAATTTGAGTCGAGTCTGCAGGCTATGCGCTTGGACATAGGTAGAGACACTTTTTTCGGGTGGATTAATACGACGCGGACAAAATCCCGAAATAACAGTTAAAAAATAATAAAAAATAAAAATGATATAATAATACAATTGTCGAACAACGATCGCGGTTTGATTATGATGTGTGTCTGAAAAATGTTATGAAATCATATCTTTTTTGATACTTATACATATTTATTAAACAATATATTCTATATGATTTATTTTTTAGCGTAAAAAAAAAAATGTTGACACACGTTTTATTATTTTCGATAAAGAAATAGTAATAATAAAAGCGATAATCGTAGATATTTTTCAAACGATGGCTTATTTATTCAGGAGTGGGTGCACATTTTATTAGCCGCTTACTCTGCAATACAAATGTCAGTGCACGCCTTTGCTTGGTACGTGAGAACGCTTTATTGTTCCGCCGTATTGTAATATTAATGTTTGGCCTATGGCAGAGAACGATGATTATTTATATTATTATTTTCGCGGCGTCGCCGTCATCATATTATTGAGTAATCGTTTCGCGACAAATAGTTTATTAAAAACACAAAACAAAAATTCGTGTTATACCTTTTAAATATTGCTAATAAGTAAAATGTTGGGAGATAAAATAAAAATTTCTCATAGATAGTAAGTTAAATTGTTATTTCGACATGTAAATTTAAGTATAAATTTAAAATAATATTCATAATTAATATTTTCAGTACATAACTAAAAATGCATTTTAATGAGTACAAAAAGCAAAAGAAAAAAAATTGTAGGTAGGTATATAAAATACAATCAAATTTATTATCGAGTAAATCGCAGATATTAATCAATATAATATGTACCTATGTTATAATAATAATATTAATATTAATTTATATTATATTGTATAAGAACTTCCAAATTTCTTTGTTTCATTTTAAGCAAATTAATTATTATTTATTACCTATTAAATGTTGAATGTCAATATGTCATTAATGTATCGACATCAGCATTCTAAATAAATCTTTCTTTGTACAAGTTAACCATTTTACGATAAACGTTTAATAAAATACTAATCAGTTATATTTTTCTAGGATGGTGAGGCTAATATTCCGTCTTACCTACATCCCCCTCAATTGGACATCCGTAAATATTGCTGGCAAGCAGGTACATTACAATGTAGTGCCCAGTTATATTATTAACGGTGATATGGCGAATGGATGATTGGGAGGCAGCCGCCTCTGTTTTTTTTTTTTTTTTTTTTAGAGGTGTTGAGCGGATGAACGTTAATGACCAACGGATCATAATATTTTAGTAATAACTAATATATTAGTATTTATTACGATAATATTAATTTGTAAACGCCTTTATTAGGTTTTAGGCGAGTGGGCTGGCGGAATATTAAGCTATAGCCTTTTAACAATAATTTCAAGTTCACAACGCCATAGTTAAGTAATTAAACGCATAATTTTTAAAATGATAGGTAATTGGATTCATCTTTCCGCCGAAAATGATTGTGAATATTGTGAATTTTTAACAATACGGCAACGCGTAATATTCGGTCAGCTTTTCGGCAACAATATCGGCATATTATTATACACTAGATATTTGCATGATTACGTTACTTATTACTATATAGGCAACCAAGCAGGTACTAATTATAGCACTATACAATTAGATGGTTATTCTATCTATCTATAGGCTTATGTGTAATTCACGTGCGCGTGGACGAGAATTTTAATTTGAATCATCATATTCACGATATCGATGATATTGTATAATTTAGATTATTAATAGGTAAAATACCGATTTAAACATTTTTTGTATTATTATTAAATTCTTAAAAATAAAAATAATTTAATTTATGTTGGTTCTTTAAAAAATCGATACAATTTCTTTGTTCTACTTCGTAAGCACGAATGTAAATATTAAGTTTAAAAACTATAAAATTCACCGTATTTTTTTAAAAATGTTACAACGTTTTAAAACAGTTCAAGAATTTTGTTTGTTAGTATGTAAATAAAGTCACGGAAAGCAGAAAAACAATATTTGTGTAGTTCAAATACTAGCCTTCGAATAATCCCATTAAAAACAATTTGTTTAATTTTAGCGTTTACTAGTGAATATTAGTTTATAATTAAACATACGTTATCGATCGATAACGGCGTGGCTATTTATCTGCTCGATTTACTAAATGTGCATCGTGCATTGGCCATCTAACATAAAATATTCTGTGGTTAATTTTAACCAAACAATAAAACCACTATGATTTATGCACATCTTAGATAAATCAAAATATTTTAGATTATTAAACGAAATTTCCTAAAGCTGCAATTACTAAAAAAAAACCCGTTGGGAATTATACAAACAGCGACGTTGTTCATGTTCACTATTATTATATATAAGTAGGTTGTAGATATGTACTACTAGGTACCTTTTGTCTTCTGATATAGCATTTGAGTTTTTTTTTCATAAGATTAATAGTCGGACTACGAGCAGAATTTCTTTGGCGAGACTTATAATATAAAATATTTTAATAATTTAATTCATAATGAAACATTCTAATATAAAATATAAAGATACATCTTGTTAGTTGTCGTCTTGCTATCTCGCTGTTGTAATATGACTACATTAAACACAAAGCATAAATAAATGCTATGCTGATAAATGTCATGCTATTTTTCTCCTCGGAATTAACAAAATAAACAAAACACAAATGTGTCAATGTCGATAAAAATTTTTAATTAAAAATCATAGTTAACATTTATTTAATTTCTTTTTAAATTGAAATGGAAAATGGTTTGTAATTAACTAGCATAGTAATAGTGTTAACTGTATCAGTGTGATAAGAATCAACCTGTATGTATTTAAAACGTAGTGATAGTTTTTATTAAAATTTTTCTTTTTAATATCATGTTTATTGTAGATTATTTAATTAAATGTTATACTTATTCAATTACACATTTCTCGTAATTATTTCGTTGTCACATAAAAAACAATGTTTTTGGAGTTCAGATCTACGAAAACCATTTTTCAATTATTATACATTGACAAAATTATATGGTCGACAAACGCGCCAAAATAAATATTATTTAATCATTAAGAATCAACAACAAATAAAACAATTTATTACAATTTTTAACTCAGCATTTTTATTGACCTTATGCACACTATACTTTGTTGGTTTTAATCAAACGGTGCAAATAGTGAAATCGGAATACAGAAAAAAATACATTTAATTTTTTTGGAACCACATAATATAATAATGTAAGTAGATTTATAGACGTATAATATATATATAAGTGGATGTGCTCGGATTAGATAAATATATATACTTCAATCGCACAATGTGACAGTAAAAATGTTATGAAATATTAATTATTGTGTACCCTGTACCAATTTCCTGCAGATCATTTGTAGGATTATATTATATCCTACTTAAATAATACTTAGGCGTAGACAAACTAGACATTGGTATATAGTATATACCATATACCAATACTCTATATTATAGTTAATAAATTCGGTTATAAATTATAATATTAGTCATTAGGTTCATCTCGAGGAAAAATAAATAGCAGGTAATCAATGCGATCATTCATTACTATTATTTATTTGTTTATATAAAAAAATTAATTTATTAGTTCTAGAATCAGCATTATTACGCGGCAGAACCATTTTAGTGAACCCAAAAAACAGTTTTAAGCGTAAAAATATGAGAGTTTTTTATGAAAATATTAAGTTTTAAAAGAAAATATGATTTACTTATTTTACACAGGAATATAGATGATTACATAAGTAGAATGTTTTTAGCTAGAAGAATCATAGTTTATTCCTATAAAATAAAAAAAAAACGGTTTACCAAATATTTTAGAGTTTAATTCTCTTGATATGTAGACTAATAAACTAGTTTTCTTATTTTTTTAAATTTTTTTATTTACAATTGCACAACAAATAAAAAAACTATGTAAATACATGTAAAAAAAAAAAATTAATTATAGATTATAATAAATAATTTTATTAATTATTAGTTTTGTTATTGTAATTAGTTATATTATTTTTAATCCAATATTTTATATATTTACTCTCAAAAACCAAGTCAAATGGTAATTGAATGACCTGGAACCCTGGGATGTCTTTTACCATATACCTATCATTTGGTAAAATTGCATTGATTGATAGGAACTTATGAACTTTGGTATATGCTTTTTATTAATACCTGGCGTTGTGTCAATATTCTTAACCATAACATAATCACCTTCACTTTTTTTTTTTTTGCAGTACAACATTTATTGTCTACATACTTTTTATTTTTTAATTGAGCATCTCTAATATTATCATAAGCAATTGGTCTCATTACATCAAAATTACTATCACTAACTTCATCTACAATGTTTTCAGTTTTCAACACTTTACG